GGAAAGGTAAACAAGTCACAGTTGCACGCCATTGGTCTCTGGGTCTGCTAGCCATGGACTAGCAGAGCTCAGCTTTCAAACTGGGAAAATTTGCCACTGAATATGCTTATGCTTTCCTACTATATTAAACACATCAGTCCTAGGTCTACTCCAACAACACTGCACACCCAGAAAGGAACCTGGGTCAGGGAGGAGCACTAAAGATAACTTTGTTCTGCTTTTTGTTTTGATTTGATTTTTTAAAGGAAGAAGAAACTGGGCTGTTCCCTACCTGTATCATGAATCACCATTTTACTGAAAATAGAATCAGCAACTGACCCAGGAAAAAAAGAACACAGGGAAATTTGTTACATAAATCTTATTCCATAAGGGAAAAAAAATCCAACCACTTCTTTCCAACCGTCAGCTCCAAGCCCTCTGCTAACCCACTCAGAAGTGGTGGGTTTCAGGACAGAAACAATACTCACGCTGTCCTGAACTTACTTTGTTACATCAACTTCAGAAGTGGCTAAGTATAAGTAACAAACAAACAAACAAACAAACAAAAAGAGCCTCTGTCACTTTCAAAATTGCAAATCCAGAGCTGGAGAGATGGCTTAGTGGTTCACGGTGATTGCTGCTCATTTGTAAAGACCAGAATTCTAATCCCAGCATTCACTTCTTGCAAACACCTGCATCTCCAGCTGGGCAGGATCCAATTCCCCTTACTGGCTTGTGTACCTCAAAGGTGTGTACATCCCCCAAATACAAGTTCACACACACAAATAAAAATCCCAAATCTGTCTGAATAAAGATATTTTCTCAAACAATGTGAGACAGCTGCTCTTTCTTTCCTCTCTGTCACTCAGCACATATTCTGTGTGGTTAACAATAGACACCATTTTTGCTTGCACATCTCATACCAATTCTCTCCTCCCTGGATGTGTAAAAGACAAGAACAACACCAATGGTGATGTTTAGAGACTCTTTAGAACAAGACCTCCTCATCTGGGGTCTGTGGACCCCCTGAGGAATCAAAGAGCAATTCCACTTTCCAAATCTTTGAATTTATATGTTAAATTTTAGACATTTGCATATATGCACTTTTCTGGGAATAGAGCCTAGGACTCTCATTAGATTATCAATGGAGGGAGGCACTGACACACACACAATAAAAACCCATTACTTTATATAGCATGTGGCCCACTTTCTGAGCATGCTTTTCCCATCTGGCCTTCGGGGAAGAAAACGATAAGTGTTTTTGTTTTTGGAGGAAAGTGGGATGATAATAGATTGGGACTTCTTCATGCGGAACTGATGAAGTTGGGCCTTAGGAGATGGTGATTGGGGCCGGAGGGTAGGGCATTTCAGCAGAGGGGATGGCATGACCAGAAACACAAAGCTGGAATGCAGGAGGCATGTATAGACA